CCTGAGTCAGCCTAAGAATTTATTTGATTAAAAAATTTTTCTTGGATTTGAAACTTTTTTCACTATTACCAACCTTTCTTTAAACGAGTATATGCGACATTTTAATTAAAGAAGCTATATTACGAATTGCTGTTCTGCTCTAGATATGGGAAAACTCTCTCTGCTCTGAAAACAAAATAATTTCGTATTTCAGTTATTTTTCTGACATATTAATGCGACGCTGAACTCTTTTATACTCCAAAACAGTTCGCACATAATCATTGTGTCGATGTGTCAGCCTCATTGATGTGAATTTTAGAATCTTTTCTTTGATTTCTTGTTCGCTTCAATATTACTATGTCTACGAAAGCGGAGAAGAGAGACCTTCTGATGTATAATGTTCATTACAGAAATACGCTATTTTGTCACAATCCTCGATTTCAACCTTTTGGATTCGATTACCTTTATAGCAGCCTAACTGTCTACAATTGTCTGTATATTTTTTCTCGATTAAGTATATCTCAGTCTGAACGACGCTTGAAGTGTTGGGGAGTCAGTATGACTATCTCATCTATATATATCTCGAATAAATACCCATTCTCGTTCCATTCTCCATTCTTAGTGCCAAGAAAGTAACAGATTCCCACTCATTGTTTTTCTTGGAATTATTTCTTGTGTTTAGTTATTCGTTAATAATTTTTTGAGACTGTAAGTATCAAGTTAAACTCGCTTGCCAAAAGTCACATTCCTTACTGAATTTGAAACTCAAAGTCAGTGTTTATTAGCCAACTGATACTCAGCTCTACTTGACTTGTATGTTCTCTTGACTCTTAAATGCAATAGCACTAAATAATAACTTGAGCCATATACGAAGTACAAACCTCAAAAGAAATACTTGGAAGCTAGTTTTTCGGACGTAGGGAAAAAAATCTGATAACCTTTTTTTTTTTAATTGCAGTACTTGAATGTTCTTTATTGCAATTTTTTAATTTATTAAAATAATTATCATTTAGCTGGTAGTGGCAATTGTAAAGGATGTACTCATGTGAAGCACCTCACTTGAGAAATGTTAATGGTCATGCAACATGCACACCTACACATTAGCTTCTCGGCTTTCTCACCTCGAAACCCTTCGAAACTAAAACAAAAACTCCAAATAAATGAAAACAACAACCGAAACTTCTAAGCATTAAAGTCAAGAGCCAAAAATTAAATTTCTTTTCCTTAACACGTAACGTGGCTTCGTTTATTTATTGCAAATATAAGAATACGAATTTTCCACACTCACACAAACAAACCATAAACACATACAAAGTCTTCAGGCTGTGGGTTGTGTGTGTGTGTATATCCTGGGGCAATACAAAATTAATTTTCATTAAATATCAACGACGTTCAATTTCTGCTGTCACTTCATTTTCCTTTCAACTTTTTTATTGCGAATTTTTTCTTCTTCTTTGTTAACGTATTTTTTTGGCACCGAGTTGAGTGTGAAGTGAGTACCGTTCGATTTCTGTACTCCTTAAATTTTCTACATCCTTCAGTGCTAAAGGTTCCCGAAATTCACTTGATTGATTTTAATCAGAAAATTAAGTGGTATCTTCGCTTGGGAGTCTTGCTTCTCTTGCCGATTGTGGCTGTGGTTTTGGCATATCGACTTAACTTATGGATATTGATTGAAAAGAAGTTCTTTCCAGACATTCTGAATTCATCCCAGCAATTGAAATTAAATTTTCACATGTTAGAACTTCGGTACATAAAGTTAATCCGACAATAAGTGTTTAAAATTAAGGGGGATATATTATCGTCTATGCAATGCTATTAATTGTTATAATATTAACTAAGCAAATTACAGGGTGCTTATAATTCTTTCAATGTTATAAAAAGTATTAATTGATTACTATGAACTACAGTCAATCAACTTTCTACAAAATTAGTTTTGGATATTTGAAAATTTTTGAAAATATATGCTGAGAACTTTCAATTTTTACAACAAATACAACTTTATTGTTCTTCTATTATTTCATTAGTACAATTACGAAACATTTTATAAACAAATCTTACAATTCAATGTACAAATATGTTCAATACATTAAGTACTGCTATTAAACGTGAAAGCGTTTAATTCAGCCTCATAAAATAAATTCCAATATTAGCTTCTAGGCAGGAACCATATATAATGAAAAAAATTCGGAAATTGGTTAATGATGTGAGTACCAGATTTCTACAACTAATCACGATAAAGCAACATATATACGCATAAACCACATAAAAAACATTTAGTAGGTAGACTTAATATCTTATTTTGGGTCCCATCCAACAATAAAATACAAAAGTACCAGTATTTTTTGAACATATTTGCGCCTACTTCATAAGATATTATGAAGTTATTTGGAAAGCAGATTCCAAATAAAGAAGACTGTTTTAAAATAAAAACCATAAAAACAAATATAAATAAGAATAGTTTGCTTCTGATTCAATAAAGTGATTTATATGGTTGAATGATTATTTTATATTGTCGACGGAATGTCCATCAAGATATAGGAAGTCTTTTAGATAGCTTCTACGCCTACAAAAGACTTTATCTTTGGCAAATACATCTATCAGAAAAAGGAAAAGCCGTTGTTAAATCCAGTTAATATGAAAAGTAATTACCAGCAAGGAGCAAAAACCTAGATGATCTATTGGTTTGGCTAATTCAGTAATGATTGAGCTTTGAAATGATGACGAAATACCGCTGCAAAAAACCACTCCAATGAAGAAACCAGCAAAAATTCGAAAACGTTCTGCAAAGCAAACACTGTGTATCATTGAAACTTATCGTGGAAACTGTTTTATAAGCACTTTGTTCTTCACACTTCGCAGATATCCAAAAATGTTGAAGAGTTCAGCATGTTAAAGACATATTTAGAACAACTCGAAGAAATTCTTTAAATATGTATGCCATTACAGTTGGTGATGACATGTCACAATGTTGTGTAGTACCAAAAGACTACTAAAAAAGCCAAGAGACAGTAGACTACTTTTCAATTGAGCAAAAACAAACCAATGCTAACCGTTTTCTTTAGTTTAAAGAGAATTGTTTACAAACAATGCACTTAGAAAATTCTTTGGGTTCCATAGTCCGAGTCTGGGTCGGACTTTCAAGATATTGACTGGAATATTCAGGAATTGACAGTTGGTTTAGTTTCCACTATTGCACAAACTCATTAAGATAAGTAGAAAAAAGTATAATTCTTATTGTCTATGATATTTATATGTTTTAATTAGTTCTCAAGTTAAAATTATATAGTGATTTCTTTCTTTTTCCAAAATAAAATTGACTTTAAACATAAGAATTTTTATAAATATCGTAGCGATAATTAGGGAATTACCTCTAATATATAGTTATAGAGTTTCGACACACCTATTAAAGCTGATTCCCGCACATGACTATTAAAAATGTTTTAAAAATTTCATTTAACGTTATGTTTGCTCGAAGATATTTTCAGTAAAAATTTTTTAAAAAAAATGTTTGATATTATTTTACACTTCGTATTTATTTTGAGATTATCGGTTGAGTTGAATAACATTTTGAAAGCAGCACTTTGGAACATTAAGTACTTCTGACATTGGAATTTCAAACAATAATAAGTTTGTTACAATAATATCAAACCCTATTATATACTAACTCTAATATATACTCTAGCTATATATAAAAAAACCGATTTGAGTGAAATGTTTTTTTTTTGTCTATGTTACGTATACGCTGCGAGGTACAATTTAAGTAAAAATTTTGTCAAACTTGAACCTAAAATTAACCGATTGCAGTTTATAATATAATAAAGGTTAATAATATATAATAATAATATATGATAATAATATATAATAATATAGTTAATAATATAATAATATATAACAATTAAATAAGTTGATATAATAAATGAATTATGTGTATATAAATAAGTGAATTATAGAATAATTAAATAAATTAATTAATGAACATACGAGTAATTAAAAAAAAATAAATATATTATTTTATTTTATATTTTTAATAGAATTATAAATTCAGTTATTTTTTCCTTTATCAACTTTATCATTTCTGCTAAAGATTATGACCGAAGTTTTAACACTTAAATTATATTAATTATAATTAAATTATTAATAAAGTATAAAATATACAAATTTATTAGTATAAATTTGTTATTGCATAATTTTGCATCGCCAAACACTAAAACTATCAATAGTGTTAATAATCAACTTATATTTTTTTCCATTTCGATTATTTTATATTCATTATTGATAATGAATACAATCATTAATAATCATTATTGATGTTTGACTACCTCAAGAACGATATCGGGCCAAAGTTTTAAAAATAAGTGAAAGCTCTATGAATCATTAAATATAGAATGAAAAAATATTTCGAATTATTCATTTAATTTATTTTTATAATTATTAAAGTACTTAACACATTCTCATAAATTTTTTTATATTATCAATTTGTTAGAAATTATATTTGAACTTAAAGTAAGACAATGCTATCATGTTGCGCATAATTAAAAGTTCTTCTTAATTGTTGATTTATATAATGACTTGGAACCATTTAAAATAGATTTATAAAATCGCTTGGATCTCGAAAAAAATGAATGCATATAAATGAATATCTAATTTTATTCCTTTCGATAGCCTTTCAAAAATTAAGTTCGATAACTACTTAGTTATCTAACTGAATGTAAAAGTTAATTTTACTTTTTGAGCGCGTTTTATTTATTTAAATAATACATCTTTATATATATATTAAAATATATTTATATATACGCAGATTTTATTAATTTTATATATTTCAATATAGCTTTACAATAAAAACTAAAAATAATTTCCGTACTCAAATCGGTGGCTGGTCTCATAAACTGAAACGAATAAAACTTAATTTATGCACTTCTGCATGTAAATATTACACATTTATGAAACTACGAGTATCTTTTCAAAGTATAGATACCCTATGGTATATCAAATATTTAAGCGAAAGTCAAAGTACTTACAGTGCACCTGTAGCTTCATGCGTTTGCTCACGGATGGCGGCACTCCATTCGATGCTATGCACATATAGGCGCCCATTTCGGATCGCGTGACTTTTGACAAGGTTAGCATTTCGCCCTCAACTGCCAGTGCTGTCGAAATGAAAGAAAGAAAACATTTTTATATATGAACGCTCGTAAAAAATTCTTTATTTATAAAAACTGTACAGAAATCACTGAATACTACGTAATTTTATTAAAATTGTCGGTTGTTAAAATTTGAATTCATTTATGTTAAAATTAATTCTGATGGAATAATAAATACTCATTGCGTATGAGTAATCATGAAAAGTTACTGCTTTCTTCAAATAATTCTAAATTGAATTAAATTTACTTTTTATTGATTTTTACCTTTAGTTTTCTGATGTGCTCCATTTCTCGCTATAATTTCTCTGCCATCCTCACGACGCCAAGTTATTTTCGGTTTCGGATGTCCGCGTGCACGACAAACAAGCTTAGCTGAACCGCCTTCTGGTACCATCATGTCGCCAGAAGTTTCCTCCATGATTATGTCAGGTGGTATCACAACTTCCAATGTTGCTGTCTAAAGGGTTGACAATGCAAAATTAAGAAAAATATTTTGGTTTATGGCTTTTTTTAGTTGAGTTCGTTACACATTTCTGGTTTAAAATTCAGTTTGTGACATTAAAGCCAGCATTGTTGAAATTGACGTTTAAGTACGAAATAAAATAAATTTTTAACTTTGAAGTTTATAGAAATGTGTCAAAAATAGAGTAAAAATGGAAGAGGTGGCGGAGTTCGAATGGAATAAAACGTTAAATATTTCAAGAAATATCTTTAGTGCAGATATTAATAAATTTAGAAAAAATTTCTTTCAAATTTACTTCCAAAAGATGAAATATTAAAATCACATATTTTTATTATAGCGTTTCCAATAACAATTAGCTGTTTAGATGGAGGTATCTTAAAATACACTAGGATCAAAACAATTAGAGCACAAGGGGGAGCTCAAAAATTGTTAGTATCAATTAAAGTTTTCTCAAAAAGTAAGCTATCAATGGATTGATCAATCTTTTTTAAAATTTAAGAATTTATTTACTTTAATGCAAAAGTTTCATAAATATTTTCTTCGGAAAACTATTTAGATACAATATTTAAACGAACAATATAGCCACAGGTGACATACAAATTGGTTCTTTCGTTTGACAGCGAATCAAGCAAAAGTTCATTTTTCATTATTAGTATTGTAGATTGTGAAATCAGTATGACCCTGTACAAAGCTTGAAACAAATTTGTCTTCTTCTCTACATTTCTAAAATAATATATTAACTTTAAATCATTGACATTATCAAAAATATAAATTCTGACTACTTATTTAGCAAGCATTCATGAACTCATTTTTAAATTTCCACTTCATTCGTACTATTTCGGTTAGCTTTTTCTAGTTAGTCAAGTTCCATCTAAAAGTACAGATAGGTAAAAAAATATAACAATATAGTAACTGTACCACTAACATTCAAAAAACAGATGAATATCTGTATAGATATTTTCTAAAATAGTTATTCTATATTCAAATGCTCTTAAACTATTTACAATGGAACCTTTTTAGTCTTTAAGGTCAATAAAGATAATGAACATCATGGACCGTATCAATTGAAAGCAAAAATGTTAAATTTTAAAATTAAAAACCCTTTTTATTTATATTTTATAATATTATATATTTATTAGTGGGTTTTGTAAGTGCCTTGTCTGCTTCATATGTGAGCCAACAATATATCACAGCATGCCAACACCCGAGTGGATTCTTAAGTCATGATATTCTTCAATTCCCAGGCTCACACTTTAATCCATTCTGTTTCCAATGGCTAACTTATGTTGTCCATATTTCTTTAGATACTTAGATTTTTCAATATAAGTAATCCAATTTTTCTCTGACGCGTAAAGCGACTACTTTATTTGTGAAGTATTTAGTCCTACCAAATTTTTGATATGGTTCGAAAGCTTTAAACTTAAAGCACATCTACGCAACAAATCGGGCATATATCTCGACACTATTAAGTAATGAATCATTATTCCTATTAACAACTACAAATAAGCGTTTTATCAGCTTCACAAAAACTTGATTTATTCGTAATGAACTTTCACAGAATGATTCTAGTGCGTATAATAAGTATATATACACCTTTTTTATCTAAAAAAAAAAGTCTAAATATCTAGCTGATAAAATCGTCACATTATTATGGTTTGCATTCATTACCATGTATTCAATTTTTTGTTTTTAATTCTAAGTAGATAAAAGGATAATTTAAAAGTACGTTTTGCTTTGGGTCTTATTTCCGACCCAAAATTATATATATAACGACTCAGTGAATACTTTTAACAAGCAAATATCAGGAAGCATATTTTGACATCAAGCTATATCTCTTGTTTTGGTTGCTTGCAGTGGCTGGGCATCAGATAACTTTCCATATACCTCAATTAGTTATTTTTCGCCGTTTTGCTACCACATAATAGGTGTTATATTGGAATTATTCTTATGAGTTTCATTGTAGTGCTAGTTCAATGACGGTATTAGCATTTTGAAATCGCCTTTTGTGGAATGTGTATTCGCATTTTGTTACAACTCTTAAATTTATGGTGCTTGTGATTTTATATTTGATATCTTTAATACTATGAAAATTCGTTGGTCATCTCATTTTAGTAAAATAATTAAAAAAGTATAATTATTATAATTATTATTAAAAAGCAGATGCACTGTGGTCTAATGTGCAGAGCTTTGATCCGTAACCAGGTACAGGTATTTAAACTCTTTGTACATTTTAGTATAATTTGCAGTTTATGTTTCCATAATTTACACGGAGGCATAACAAAACCTATTATGAAGTCCTTGTCTATCAAGAGCTTGCTATTAACAAAGAGTGTGCTTTGAGTTCCCAAAATATTAGTGTCGAAGAACTCTAATTGATTGAAGCAGCACCGCAAATTTTAGGGAACTGCAAAGTAATCAGATAGATACCAGAAGCCTACCCTGCTTACCGAAAGAGTTTGATTTGATGATTTCTATTTAGTTACTTATAAACTAATTAATTAGTTCGTTTATTAATAAGTTCACGTTGTTGATACTGTGAGAAAAATTTTAGAAATATTCGAAGCATTCCATCTGTAGTAGACTTAATAGTTCCTCATGTTATAATCATTCTTTATGATTACTTGCATAAAGTTTTTTAATTATTATTTAAGTTTTAGTGACAGTCATAATTATTTATTTAAAATAATTTACGAATGCTGTTAATTTAGCTGTCGTCTTGATCTTCTTGTATTTAATTGAAGACATTTTGATCTTGTTGTAAATGAGCAACAGATTTTTCCATTTATTTCTTATTTTTGTACTACATGCCGAATTGTATGATACGGATTTCCCACTTGTGTTCATCTTTTCACAAATCAATGCAGATACTCTTGTGAATTATGCTGAAATACTGACAAACAATACTTAGAACAAAAACTCGTTTTTATTTCATTATTAATAAAAGCGGCTTAAACCTTGCTTTTGACTTTTTCATATGTGAGAGGCATTGCAAAAACCTCAGCAATCTGGTGTGAATTTTTCGACATTCTGGTTCTCTTAAAAGGGATAACCTGAGCTTTTCTGATAAAAGAAATATTAATGGACTTTAAAGTTTTCTTAAAAACGGAAAATCTAGCTTCGAATACGGGAAACAATAGTAAGAGAAGGAAAATGACAACTTAAAAAATGTTGACAAAATACTAGACTATAGATATTGATATATATATGAAACAAATTAAAGTATTATGCTAAAGTTTTAAGAAAAATAATGTTTTCCATAAAATAGCGAAAATGTTCCAAATAACGAATTATTCATCTATTCACCTTAACTTTAGAGTCCATTGAAACAGGAATATATACTATATTAAGCAACAAATTAAAGAATATTGAGATATTGTAGTTTTTTAAATAAAATCTTTTCCTATTTATAACCCTTTGATTAGACTAGATTTAATTGAAAAGGGGCTGAGCGCTATGTCACCATGTCACTGCAACCTTTTAGGAGTATTGGGATAAGTCCATTTTAGTTCCATAGGCACGTACCAGTTAAAAATGTCATAATGTCCCTTGGAGAGATGCTGCCTTATTCCGTTATAAGTGGATAGGCAGTTGATAAGTATCGAAGTCTGAGACTATGACAGAGACACATAATCTGTATTTCTTTTTCCTCTTCTTCTTAACACAGTCTGCAGCTATTGTCTTTTGTAATAACTAGATATTATTACCCTATAATTTACCCACTTAATTAATAAACATTCAAAAAGAGTTTTCTTTTCCACTAATATTATTTGCTTGTTTCTAGGACCAAATAGTCACCTTTTGAAATTTGTCCAAATCACACGTTATATGTATATCCATATGTTCGAAGTAATTTATTTATAATATAAATAAAAATAATTTATTAAAAATATATTTTTACAAATGCATAAAGTTTTAAATTACTTTTGCATGCATTCCATCGAAAATGGCCTTTGTATAATTTATTTTGCATTGAGTTCAAGGCATTTCTAACTAATATTTGTATTAAGATTTATATATGGATTAAATTAAGGATATAGTAACAAACCACTTCACTGCAATTATACTGAATGAAAAGTTTTGCTATGTCGTGTTTGAAACTATAACTCAAGGGTTTGTAGTTTAGATGAAATATTGGTGTATACTTCCAACACTGAAATATAGCTATAGGTTTGAATACCTGAATGTATATGTGAATCAAACGAATTTTTCTTTAAATTAGAAACTCTCAGTTTCAAAACTTGAACTCCCTAAATATAAAAGCAGCTTAGAAAATATATTCCATCACAGATTTGATGATTATAATTGACAAATTAAAATCCTAGACTTGATGTACAATTCAAAGTCTTCACAAGGACTAAATGTACTGCATAGAATAGGGTAAGGTGAAGTTCACAATTCGTAGTTCATAAGTATGTAAGAGTAGCGTGTGGCGAGTAACGAGTAACGAGTAAAGAGTAACGAGTGTAGAGTACATATGAAATTGAGTTAAAAGTTTCCGTTTTTTATTCACTAAAAATTAAGTGAAAATTCATGTGACACATGCAGTTGAGGAGAGACATTCCCGTATTTGCTTATTTATTTGTTTGGTTTCAGTTGACTTTATTTGCCTTTTACTCAACTCACTTTGTAAGGTTAATTTTATTACGTGAAATATGTTTGTACAAACAATGAAAATAGCATGAAATGAAATTGAAAATTCCAGTGTCGTTGTCGTCACAGTTAACGTACGTAACGTCTACTTAAATAACGCATGAAATATTCAAGTGGGCTCATATGTTACCGACGTCGCTTCCACTTACGAGGACTGCTTTTTACTTCAGCCCTTTCGCAGGACCTCATGCGTTGTCTTTGCGCTCACTTCGCTTTGGCTTGGGCTTTGGCCACAGTTTTGTGCTGTTTGTTCAACTCTTAGCTTTTAACGCGTTCCACTGTTGGTACAGTCTTTTTAATTTTATTTATTTATTTGTATTTTTATGGGGTTTTTTTATTTATTT